GTGTGTGTGTGTGTGTGTGTGTGTGTGTGTGTGTGTGTGTGTGTGTGCGCTCCAGTTGCACTCAGTTGCAGGGTACAAACTCACCCTTCAGCATCTGAACACTGACGTTTCAGTCTGGTGTTGCTCTGTAACAAGAAAAGAACAAATCTGGCAACATTTTGTTCTGTTTCTAGAGCTGTTCTGGCCTCCTTACCACCTCTAAGACACTGCTAAAAAACCCATTCCCAAACATTTAGCTTTCTTTAAATGTACAACTAAATAAATAACATGCATTACATTCTATACGTTAAAACACATTCAGCAGGGGTCAGCAAGTATTCAATCATGGGCTCTTTAGTATATTTATATACAGTATATATTATGGGTTCATTTATTAACTTCCTTGAATATAGGCAGGACTGGATTTAATGTGGTTATGTTTATTGATATAAGCCCAGTGTTAATATTTTTAAACACGACTATTAAACCTCATCTTGTGTCGGGGAGGCTGAATGGCCAGATTTGGCCCCTGGTCACCATTAGCCTGCCCAGTTTATTTTATGTTGTAAAATAAATGAGTGTTAATAAATTAATAAGCTTAGTATTGGGAGGTCACAGGTCAAGGTCAGTCAGCTATCGCCTGACGGTAATGCCAGTCCACATCAGTTCATACCCATCTGTGTATCTTATTGGCCAATCTGAGTTGCTGCTGCCACTGCAAAAGCTGTTTTTGCAACCCACCTCAGCTCCTCTTTATCATGTATGTCATTTGTACCCGGTCACATTTTGGACAGAGAAGACAGATGGTTTGAAAGAGGAGTAAAAGAAGCCATCTATGTGCACTGTGAGCGGCCATCTTTGAATAGAGGCGGTGGCTTACGACACCAACTCTCTGCCATCTATAATCCAGTTTTGAGATCCCTTCCCAGACGCCTTAACGCCCACACACATCCTGGGCCATTTGACCTCAGGACATCGCATGAAAGGGTGGGGCTAGGTCTCACAGTGAGTTCACCCGAAACCTTGGCTGATTGTGACCTACACCCGTTTTCACACCTTGGCTCATGTAGAGGATCATTAGGGGGGTCCATTGTCCCTCTTGGGGGGGACACTCCCATAGGGCTTAAATCTGGGACTCTTAGAACTGAAGAAGCTACTCTGATGAGAGGTTAAACCTCTTCAAGCAGCTTAAAGAAGTCCAGACGCTTTTCTTTCCAAGCTCCTTAGTCTACACTGACCTGGATGACTGAGAACCTTCACAGACATACCTGGTTCAGTATCTTGCTTCTGCAACGTCCTTCTATTTAGGCTTTCCATGTATGACAACGAGAGGGTGGGAGGTACCAGAGCTATGCTGCCAAATCCAACCTCCTGCAGATAATTTGGATAAAGTGTTTCTTACACAATTATCTTTTTGACTGTTTAGACAAAACAAGCAATATGATGATGTCACTGTTACAAAGTGACAGAACTAATAAAGTGCTAGAATTCCATTCACCAAATATGAAGCACAATCTTCTTGGAAATATTGTGAGATAATTTTACTGAAAAGCCTTAACAAAATCCAAATAGATAAGTTAAATAGGATACATTTTTCACCCATTATCTAGTTTGGTCCTTTCACTTTTGTTTAATTTTTCAGTCTATGAATATGCCGCTGAGTTGAATAAAATGTATATATGCAGAAAAAAAACATTAATTATAATCAACAGTGTCTTTTTAAATGTATTGACAGTAAGGAAAATCTCAAACATCACCAGCCTCTGATTCTCTAAAACCAGCTCCCAAACACAGGGTCAGGGGTCTGCGCTGTGTGAAATAGCCAGCACTGTGGTAATGACGTTCTCAACGGTTACGTTCACGTGCAGTGGAGACACAGATCAGTGTGACTGTGACATGTGCGGTGCTGTGTTAATGTTATTTGGGCACATAATATGACTGGCTTATAATATGACTCTGTATTCGCCCTGCCAGCTGTGGGAGTGGGTGGAAGCAAAGTGTCCAAGGTCATAAATCAGCAGTCGTTCCCACAGGAAGAAGCTCTGTCTGAACCGTCAGAGGGAAAGCAGGACGTGTAGGGAGGGGTGAGCCTGGGGGAAGAAGGTGCTCTGTGAGCTTTTTGGTAACAATCTTAAGTGTAAGTGGCAGGAACTTGGAGTTGGCGTGAGTGAGTGATGAATGTTAATAATATTACATGTGGGCATGCGAGGCTAAAAGTGCCTTGCAGTTTTCACTTGGCTCGGGTGTGCTTCTTGGCACAGCTGACTGAAGTTCTCCCACCACTACCTTTTCCAGCTCCTCCTCTTTGTACAGCCCTGAACATTTACACATGGAAAAACAGGACTCACAGCACTCCCTGTAACACTGCACGCACACACAGCAAAACAATAAATCTGCTTTTGTCAAAACTCCGTCAGTCTCTTGTGTTTGCTTCAGTCCATTGTTGAATTTTCTCAAAGGCTATTTTAGGACGAACGTTGTGAATCCGAGTTCTATTCCAGGACATCGCACATGTGTGTGTGCACACTTCAAAGTTTGGTAAAACATCTGTTTGCACCACTAACTCTGCTCTTACATGTTTGATGTGTAATTGCTCAGACAGGACTGCTTCTCTGATGCTGTAATTTACACTTGGTTAAACTCCTCCCACACATTATCATAATGACTCTATAATTAGGTTTATTCCATGTGCTTCAAATTAACTTTTTTTTTTTCATTTTTAAAGAACAGCAGCTAATTTAGTTCATTCTCTCTGTTTAATATGTCACTAAATGTTGCACTACACATTTGTGCAGAGTTAATTACATGTACACACATCAGAATCCATACAGAGATGTGAACATTCGCATGTAACAGTCAGTATTTTTTGATTTGTTATTTTTATGTTAATGATAAATGATTATAAAAGATCTTATAAATGACAGTTTTGTCTCTCACAATAAAGTGAAATGTGTTTAGAAATTTTACAAAGGGATTGAAGACACTTTGTACTTTAGGGGAACCCCTTTAACAAAGCTGTTAATCTCCACTGCTTTTGTATTGTCCTCAGTTTATCCCCGTCCCCAGAAGTGTCTGTGATATGCTGTATGTACACACACCAGAAAAAAATCTTAAAATGCAACAAAAGAAAATACTTTTTTTTCTTTTGAGTTTTTTTTTTTTTCATATTTTCACGATTACCTCCATGCTCCTGGGACACAGTTTTACAAAGGGCTGATATCCTTGTCGATAATACAGAGGACAGTGTAGTGTTGTCGGTGTTGATACAGTGTTGTCTGTATGTAGGTGAGTCTTTCTCAGCTCCATCCAGTCCGGCCAGTTTGCCACAGATACGGGGTCTGACTTCTTCTAAAAGGGGGAAAGTTCCACCATCAGTGACCCTCAAACAAAAAGCTTTTTTCTTACATTGCAAAGGTTCAGGATAACACTGCACACATTAACCGGCTCACTCGTGTCTGTGGTTAAGATTTCTTCGAATGGGAAGGAAAAACTCTGTCCTGTGTGTTGCCGCGCTCAAGGTGAGCTCATAAATCTCCACACCCACCCTGGGTGGTTTTGAGTTTGTCTCTTCTCGCCCTCCTGCCTGGTTTGTAGCACCAGCACTGTGAGACACTCGTGGAGTCACAGAGCTTAGGTTCAGCATGGCTGCCAGAGGAAGGAGGGACGGAGGGAGGGGGAACTTTAGTGTAGATAACAAAAAGAGTAAACATGGGAAAATAAAGTGTTAACAGCTGGAAGATGATAATGGAGGCTAATTACTGCTGAACAGACGTCTGACTTCATGTTCTGATGAACTACAGCTCGGGGGGATAGATGGTCTATTTACTCCAGTTCTGTTAAACTGACATTTTATCATTTTTAAGTATGGTGATCCCTGGCGCATCCCACTGGTTATATTTGTGAAGCAGGATCCATGTGGTTTTTAAACCGTCCAGCATTTTCTGACAGGCCTTTATGGAAGCGTTTGCTTTAATATGGCTTTAATGCACTGATATAATGGACAGCTAACCGAGGTCATAATTGAATATTTCACTTCCTTTTTTGCCATCTTTCCTGTATGAAAAACAAGCTTCCTTCTGCTTTATTGCCACAAAACATCGTGTTTGTGCTCGCCCTGCATCATTTCACTGTCCTTCTCAGACTGACACCTACAGCTTGGAGATCTGCTGCAGCTGGAAAAGTGTAACTGCTTTTGTTTCATTTTGTATGCTTAGTCATTTAAAAAAGAAAAACGGGGGGGGGGGAATAAAATCCCACACTTACAATAAAGAGTAAAGCTGGACATACAAAGTGAATGTACCAAGTCTGTCCCATATTCAGCAAGTGAAAATAAAATAAACAAAAGGTGAATCAAATGGACCATTACGGCAAGCCTGGGATGGTCAATTTGGTAAAGTAAATCCGTTGGGCACAATCTTACTAGAGGCATCATCAGCTAGACTGCATCCTTAAACAACCATGAGCACCTCACAACTCCACAAATTGTTAATTCTAGTATTCCTTTAAGCAGCCGTGTCTTGAAAAGTGGCCCATTTAAGGGCTAATGACCCAAATGTTTCATGCAGGTATGGTCCAGACTGGATTTATTCTCTTGATAATGTTTGAGTGCTCGATGTTTTGGCAATAACGGTTCACACTGAAGTGCTATTGCATTGATATTTGAATCAGTTGGGGGTTTTTTTTATGCCTCAGTAATGCTGGTAACAGCTAGCCTTGTCAGAGATTCCCAGACTAAGTTATGCCACAGGTTTCTCCTTCCGCACACACAAATGTATCTTTCCCTTAACACTAAAAAAAGAACAAGTGCGTTGTGTGTGCCTTCCTTGGAGCGTTAATCTGTCTCTAATGTAAATGTTTTGTGTAAACTGCTGAGTTTAGTTTAGATCTGTGTCTGGATGCTGAGACAGTTCAGTGGG